AGTTCCGGCTTTAAATCCTCAATCTCAGGAATCGTTGACAACACAGAATGTCTGTCTTCGTCTACATCAATCTCGACCGCTTTGTTTACTGTTGTGCTGTACCACAAAAGGGACCCAGATAGGCTCTTGAATTTAACATCATGGCCTTCACAACTTCTTGGGTTCTTGCAAACCATCTGGTGTATTCCGATTCCTGACCTAGTCACTGGAGAGAAATTAAATTGAGCAGAGGCACTAGGTGGTGCCAGCCTGGCTATAAGCATCCCCCCTCTCCACAAATCTAACCTTTAATTTGCCATTGTGCTAGTCTCTATTGAAGGTTTAATATCATACTGTGAAAAATTTTCAGGCAACGGAATAACATTTCCATGTTGGCGGATCCTCCACTCGGAAGGTTACAGTGCACCTTTAAATAAATCAAATAAAAACACTTATTTTTCTTTATTTGGTTTGAAGTAACTCTTTTCATTACATAAAACTCTAAAATAATGGGAAAAGTAGTCCATTGTTCACATTAATGGCCACAAGTCATAGTCATATCGTGTCTCCTCATCTCTCACCCTGTTGCCGCGGTTACAGTTGGACAGTCCTTTGTTTTACAGATGGGCCTGTCCTCTTCTCTCTGTGTCCTCTTCCCCCTTCTCTGCCATCTCTGTCATGTGCAGCTGCCCCCCTCACCGCTCACATGCTAATATGCTCCCATAATTAGTCTGTGCAGGTTCTCTCACCATATGGGCCCTTACAAACACACAAAACACCGCCCTTGCCCGCTCATAAAGGTGATTCATAAGAGGAAGAAAGACCTATTCAAATGTACTTTTAATGTATATGGTAATCCAACCTTAAAAGGTCACAAGCCACTGCGCCCTCTCTATGCAAGAAGGACATCCAGTGTAAAAGCTAGGCCTAATCAGAATATAAAACAATCTACAGCAATATTGATGATTCTTTAAATGTGACAAGCACTTGAAGAAAAGCATTTTAAACATTTTTCTCATATATTTTTTCTTGACTCAAATCCAGTGCCTTTAGATTAAACAATCCATTCTTTTCATTTGCATAACTGGTATCCAATACTGTATGTGTTGCATCAGATGGATTAGCCCCACGCCACTGCTCCCTGGAGAGTGTCTGTCTGCTGCTGGTGCTTTCATCCTCCTGTCTCCCCACACACGACCACAGAATGGGTTTCCCTTTTCCAACAGCTCCATGAAAATACAATCAAGTGACCTAAATATCCAAGGCTCAGTGTAATTCAAGCAGAAATATGGATGGAGTTATACACCAAAACACATGCTGTTAAGATTTCTGTAGCTCTGATTCTTAACATTTACAAAAAATACTTTATTAGTTACTTTGTTCTTTCTTTATTTTCTATTGTATTCCTTGAAGTATCTGAACTAAAAGAGACTATCATCCATCGAGTTTTTGAGGTTTTGATTTCCTGTTTACGGGTGCAATTTTGTACTATTCCCAATTCAAAAGATATAAGATAGAAGATATAATATTTTTGAATAAATTATTTTGCATCACTCTGAAACCCATGGACACACCAGACCATAGCAAGTTCACATCTTCATGATTGTCTATGCTATGTTTTGTAATGCATATTTGCTTTATTACACATGCGCACATTGTTTAGGCCCAAAGGTTTTACCTAGTTGAGTTAAAAGCTTTGTGTTTTCAGTTTTTCCAGGAACTACATGGAGTTGGGGAAAAGAGAATCGGCTCCGAACATCCAAACCTGCTCATTTTCTCAAATGCAACCAGATGTGCATGACCTCCTCCAGCTGAGCAGCTCTCCCTGTGAGTGACCCATTTCCTCTGTCCTGTCTTAGACCCAAAACTGCAGAAAGCATCCAAGTGTAATGTGTGCAAGGTAGCCTCATTTTTGGAAGGTTAATAAGGGACTGGAAATAGGTCTATATTTAACATTGAGTTAGGAAACCACATTAAAAGCCCTTTGGCTGTCCCTGTGAATTGTCCCAGTAGAAAGCCTGGCCCTTTTAATAGTACCTCGCTCACTCTCAATAGGCAGACAGCTCTATACAGCCTTTGTTCTTCAGTCTTTACTGTCAGTATGATGTCAATACTTAAATTCAATGAATGTCAACACTGGTGCTACATTTACACTCAATTACAAAGATGCAAATGTATATCGTTTGAGAAATTAGATCTAGATTGATCTAGACAGCACTACTTATTTGTCAGTGGGGATTATGGCCAAATAATGTAATTATAATAATACATTGGGGAGAACATAATTAAAATTCACATCTGAAACACATTTTATGTATTTGTTTCAGGGACAGTACATATTAATGAGCATTTCTTTAAGTATGCCAGAATTAATCAGGATACTTTCCTGGTTAATTCTGGCATATTTACTGATTTTTTTTCATCTGTAGTCCTGTGACAGATGTTAATGTTGGCCTAAAAGACAAAAAGGAAAACATGTATTCATTAAGCAAATATTTACACATCCAGGTACAAATAACACTGCTGGTCTGTCAAACCTCAAACAATAAAACTGAATTATATATGTTTTTTAAGTTTTATTTGTACATATTTGAGTACTGTTTCATAATGGGGGTATCTCCTTCTCATTAGGTGGTAATTAGGGAATGCTCTCCATTTTGATTGCTTGTCATTTTGTCATTTACCTGCTCATTTGCAAGTCCCCTCAAGCACCCTCGGCTGGCAAACATGTTATTTCATATACAAGGAAATCAAGATCTAAGTGTTTTAACTTGTAACAAACCATTACTGGAGTGCATGTTATTGTGTTACACTTTAGCCAGAGGGACTTCAAGTGTCAAGTCCGGTGTTTCCACACATTGTCTAAACTGACAGGAGACTTCTCAGATTAGGCCAGTCATCCAATGCTCATTTAATTTAATCTAGAGGAAGCAGATGTTCACTAGCGTCAAACACAGCCACTCTTCTCAATTAGCACAGGCCCTTCCCCTGCTTCCCGTCCACTGTACTTAGTGTTGTGCTTTTCTACTTGTTGATCTATGCGGAAGTGCAGATGTGCTGAGCCTTAAGGTGTTTAGCTGTAGCATATGAACAGGCAACTGTCAATTTGTCTAGGTGGTCTACATTAAGATTTAAGCACTGTGTTTTTAACAGAAGTGCTGCCAAAAGCATATCGTGTACTCTATTGTTACACTTGTCCAATACAATAGCCTATATTTAAACTCAGTGTAAAACTCGATGCTAAATCAAATCCAGTACAAAGAAGTATTGTAACAATTTGCAAAGAATAAGAATTTGTGATTAAATCAGAATCTGTGATCCTGCATTACTAGATTACATAGTGAAGTATTTTGCAATAACATACTAATTAATGTCACACTGTGGAACATTCCATTCAAAGCAGTAACATTCCCATGGAGACAAACAGGTAGCAGGCCCAGTACCAGAAACATTACGCACTGCACCTTTAAGTATAAAATGATGTTAAGTTATTTAGTGTTTTTTTATTAGGTTAAAATGTTTCAGTTTGATTTTCCTCTGAACAGGAATAACATTGTGATATCTCCAGTATTGAACCAAATTGTGATCTGTAATGGTGTTATATCATTACAATTGTAATAATTTATGCATATTGTCCATTTAATTCCCTGAGTTGTATGTACACTTGTATCATTTGCCTATCTGTGACATATTTTTCCTAAATTATTTGCAACCTAAACACTGGACAGAGACAAAGTTCTGCTCTGTACAACTCTCTAACTGAATAAAGCTAATGGTGTGGATTGCATTGTCAATTGCTTTTGACACAGGTCCTTGAATGTGAAATATATTATTCTAATTATACTTTTGGCCATTACAATCATTATAGTTTCAAGGACCTTTTGCACATTTCTCAGGACATGTCCATAAAGTGGCAGCAGAGCAGCATTAGAGTGACATGGCATTGATTGGACTCTATGTAAACTACAGACAAATGAACACGTCTCAATCCTCTCATGGGACACTCATTGGCTGAGTGACTGAAAAGGACACACACGTATTCACTGCATTTAACAGCACATCATCATATACTGGCTTCCACACTGAAGAGAATTGTAATTGTATTTTTTACACAGAAATATTACTGTGTATTGTGTATGATTTTATGTTTGTTTGGGCATGTCGCCTTTGGTCTCCACACAAACCTCAGTGCTTCTCTGTGATTGGTGTGCGTACCACCTAGCAGGCCCCATTTATATATAGTATATTTATATTTATTTATTTATTTGGGAATTAGTGTTTGTATACACATCTGTGAGAGGGTGGAGCTGAAGTTAATCCTACGGAATCACATCTCAAGTGTGAAATGCAAATCTCTTTTCCTGTGGGCTACTTTTGTTTGTGCTTTTGAGTCATTAAGGTTAGGCTGTGCAACCTGATGCAATATTGTTCAAACTAGTGTCTTATTCTATCTCAAGCTCTTTTTAAAAAAAACATGATCTTTGTTTTGGTTGTACCATTTGTTCTTTGCTCTGCGACAAAACAATGTTATCTGAAGAAAATGAACAGGTTGTTTCTATCTTTTCTGCCTTCTCTGTCTCTACCTACCTGCCTCTCCCTCATCACGTACCACAATTTTCCCCTGGACACACATGCACATCAATTAAAAATGTATATGCATTTTGTGCTAATCAGCCAAATAATGGGGGTAGACGATTAGAAGACGCCAAGTTGTACATGACGCACTCATGTTGTCCTTTTTGTCCGCGCAGTGACCTTGTGTATAGAGGAGAGTTGCTGTTGATTGAACACGCCTGATACAACAAGACTGGGAGATGGGCAGAGGGAGGCGGGCACGCCCAAACCATGGAGTTGAATGACGCCCGTCTGTTGCTTCTGGTGCCTTTTGGTGCGCTCTGCCATTGGATGCGCGCTAAAAAGGTACCCAGCGCCAGCGCGCAAGTGGGCGGGTGGAAGCTGTGTTTATAAACCCAGATCTTCTCTGTGGGCGGGAGCAGCAACAGTCGAGAGTGAAAGTGAAGAAAAGAGTGAGGTAGTCCGCGGCAGTGGAGAGACAAGGCTGTGGCGGCGGTTGTGGTAGAGCGGGGGCCACGGAGGGGGCGAGGAGGCCGCCCCTGTGTGCGTCTTCATCCGCGCATGGACGACCACCTCAGCCTCCTTCAATCACCCGCGCAGAGCGTGAACAAAACCCGGGCTGAAAACCTGGTGAACCACGGGTATACAGACACGGAGGCAGACGTGATGACCGTTGTGGCGTGTGACAATATGCTGGAAGAGTCGGCGGCCCTCCCGGGCCACCACTCACTGGACCGTTACGAACCGGACCATGAGTGCTGCGAGAGGGTGGTCATTAACATCTCCGGGTTACGCTTTGAGACGCAGCTGAAGACCCTCTCCCAGTTTCCTGAGACCCTGCTGGGTGACCCTAAAAAGAGGATGAGGTATTTCGACCCACTGAGGAACGAATACTTCTTTGATCGGAACCGACCCAGCTTTGACGCCATCCTGTATTACTACCAGTCTGGAGGGCGCATAAGGAGACCTGTGAACGTGCCCATTGACATTTTTTCTGAGGAGATCCGCTTCTACGAGCTGGGTGAGGAAGCCATGGAGAAGTTTAGGGAGGATGAGGGCTTTATAAAAGAAGAAGAGCGACCGTTACCAGAAAATGAGTTTCAGAGACAGGTGTGGCTCCTTTTTGAATACCCGGAGAGCTCGGGGCCAGCTCGGGGCATCGCCATCGTGTCCGTCCTGGTCATTCTCATCTCCATTGTAATCTTCTGTTTGGAGACATTACCAGAGTTCAGAGATGAAAACAGGGACCCAATCGCCATCACGCCTGTCATTAATGGCACGCTCCCTTACCTCGTGAGCCCCTTTTCAGACCCTTTTTTTGTGGTCGAGACGCTCTGCATTATTTGGTTTTCTTTTGAACTCCTCGTGCGTTTCTTTGCGTGCCCCAGCAAAGCTACGTTTTCAAAGAACATCATGAATATTATTGACATTGTGGCAATCATACCTTACTTCATAACTTTGGGGACAGAGCTAGCGGAGAGGCAGGGGAACGGACAACAGGCCATGTCATTAGCCATTCTGCGCGTAATTAGGCTCGTCCGAGTGTTCCGTATTTTTAAACTCTCGCGTCATTCAAAGGGGCTACAGATTTTGGGTCAGACACTAAAGGCTAGTATGCGTGAGCTGGGTTTGCTCATTTTCTTTTTGTTTATCGGTGTCATCCTTTTCTCCAGTGCCGTTTACTTTGCAGAAGCAGACGATCCAGCGTCAGGGTTTAACAGCATCCCGGACGCGTTTTGGTGGGCAGTGGTTACTATGACTACAGTGGGATACGGGGACATGCACCCAGTCACTATTGGGGGAAAGATTGTTGGCTCTTTGTGCGCCATTGCCGGTGTGTTGACCATTGCTCTTCCCGTACCAGTCATTGTTTCCAATTTCAATTACTTTTACCATCGTGAGACGGACGGAGAGGAACAGGCTCAATACTTGCACGTGGGCAGCTGTCAGCCGCTCGCGGACACGGAGGAACTGAGGAAGACTCGCTCATCTTCCTCACTAAGCAAAAGCGAGTACATGGTCATAGAAGAGCACGGCATGAACAGTGCGTTTAAACAGCAACCCAACTTCCCCACAACAACGACCACCACCACTCAGAACAACTCGCAAAACTGTGTGAATATTAACAAAAAGATATTCACCGACGTGTAGCTTTTATTGTAATTGTCCAGGAAGTGGTGTCAACACACTGTCGTTACGCACCAGCGCGTGCAGCAGCCGTGCCACAAGGAGAGCGAAAACAGAAAGAGCAGTTGCTTTGTGCGCAGGGATTTTTTACATAAATTATGTGAATTCATAGCCTAATTGTGTACCGTGCGCATGCGCGTTTGGAGAACCGAGTTATAGGCCTGTAGTCTAAGAAATAGCCTACTTGAGGAGAAAAACTGTTGTGCACTTTATTGTCTCAACAGGTGGAACTAAAAGCTTTTTATCCGTGGCAATGTAAACAGTAAGGATACTCACATTGTAATTACATGCGTTGTGTTCCGTCAGTCATGATTAGCAACCATTGAGTAATGCGCGAATGATGTCTTAAAACAAAGTTTAGCGTTCATTATATTACTAGACCGTTCTGTGTTATGCCTTTATTGTGCGTAAAAGTCTAGTCCAAATGCTACTGTCGTTACACAAATAACCCCTCGATGTAAAATGTAGCGTGTTATGCATCATGTCAACACAAAGAGGCCAGCCTCTCATGTATCAATGCCTCTTTAACGGCTCGAGACTCGTGTGAAGGAAAAAGACGCGCTGATTATTAAAGATGGAGCGCCTCTCTGTCGGATGCTTCAAATAGAGCCCGCTGGGTCTCCATGGTAACGTCTGAGTAACCCCGGTCATCGTTGCTTAGCACCCTTGTTACCACAGTAACCCCCCTGCTGGCGAGGATGCTGTGCTGAAGAGCGAGGACGTAGAAAACATAGCCTATAACAAATCCAACATCTCAATCCCCGGTAAAATACGATCAAATCTTTCAACAATTCAGTCTATGACAATGTTTTACTATTATAATCTACTGCCCCTGGGAATCATATTAGAAGAAACGTGGAGAGGCGAGAGCGTGGGGAATTATGAATGGAAGTGGAGCACGGCGGTCCTGGATGCACAATTCTGGACTCCCACTAGAGGCCGCTCTACCTCTATGAAGCTGGTGAGTACTGAGCAACTACCCTGTGTCACCCTGTCATGGTCATAAACCTCGTGTTTCTTACAGTTAGTAACTGGTTTATTGTATAGTCAATAAGGACCCATCCAATTTTGCTGACATGATGTCCTTTCCAGACGGTTGAAGTACTTGTACTGCTGCCATCTAAGCTTTAAAAGGATGAGCAAAGTCTCCTTAAATTCAGTTGTACAATTTTGCAACTAGTTGGAAAACTAAACTAAAAGGAAAGACTCCATTACACATGATATTGGCTGAGACTGGAAAGGACATTAGGCTATAAACAGTGTTGCCAGGTAGTCATTTTAACCTTCTTATGTTTGCCTCCCTCCACTGGCTACATCACCTGTTAATACAGCAGATGGCCCATACAGCATTATGTCTGTTGATGTGACCTCTGTCTTTAGACTTGTGGTCCAAAAAAAAAAGATAGTTTGAACCTGTTTTACATCAATAAACATTATCCTGCTCATTAACAACTAAATCGAAGTGTTACTGTCCAGTTTGTAGATGTAAGAACCCTGAGTGGCACTTTAAACCTCCATTCCCATGCAGATTCATGCCTAGATTTATGCAGTCTCCTCCCTGCATGTGATAGCTTTAATTGAAACAGGACTGTAGGCGAGAGGGAAATAAAAAGGCGGCACAGGTAATCTATTAATCAAACAGATCTAATCATGTTTAGTGCACAGTGTCCCTCCCTATGTGTATGTGTGTGTGTGTGGTTAATGCACCTCTGTCATGGCCCACTGATTTTCATTAGACCTGCCCAAGGCAAAGTTGGAGGGGTGGCTACGTTTATAACTATTGCTTTCCCTCTGACCCTTGACAATGGCTCATTTTTCATCAGTGAAAAAGGCAACACAAGTTATCATTTAAATGGGAGCAAATTTCTTAGGACCTTCAGCAGTCCTGTGTGGGCTAGAACCAATATTGATCATGACTGAAATATAGTTGGTGATTCAGGGTAAATTACTCCTTTGAGATCGTAAAGAAAGTATATATAGATTTTCAAACTCAACATGACAACAACTTAATCTGTAATTATTTAATATTATAGCTGTGAATATGGCTCATCAAACTGCTAGCTGAACAAAATAATCACAATTTAGACCTACACCTAAACTTGTTTTGCGCTCATTTTTGCATCTTCTATAAATTTTGATGATAGGTTGAAGACTCAGCTGAACTGTTTTTTTCTAACCTGCTGTGATATATTTCAGACGTGAGCCATTCCATTAAAGTTCAGGCCTCCTGGAATCCCAATGGGCTTACCTATGGATCCTATTTGGGTAAATATTGCTCAGTAAAACATAGTACCATGGATGATAAATGGTTTATATTATATTGACCTTTGATGACCTCTCTCGCTCAGGGATGCAGTGGAGGTGGTCTTCCACAAGACACAAAGAAGTTTGAAGTGAGCCCTTGTTTGTGCTGCACTTCTCAAACACAGATGAATCATGTGATGTTCAGCAGATCTTCTCTTCCATGGCACGGCTCAAAAAGGATATATACATAAAATCTTTTTTTTTTTTGGTCCTGCAGCATCAGAATTACCAAAAATTACCTCTGCAGTAATAATCTTAGCAACTATTTTAAATGAACTGACATTGGCCTCTGCAGCTTTTGTATGGACTGTATGAAGAAGTTTCGAAAGGCACTTTTCATTGCCGAAAGAAGTATTTGTACCTGCTGTGTAATAATGTGGAATTAAAAAGTTGCCAACAGTGTTTGCTTCAAATCAAAAGCCGAGGCCAACATTGATAATACTGTGATACCAATGAAAGACTGTTAACCATATGCCTTTGTCATATTTATGTGCTCTATGGTACAATACAATTTAATGTCTCCTATCAACCCGTGACCTGAAGAACAACACAGATAAATGCAATTCACTTTGTATATGTGTGCGTCGCTGAAGGGCTTTCCTATGTCCCAGAGTGCACTTGTGTTTTCAGATGGGAAAAGGCCCTGTATGTCAGTATTTGTTCTATGTAATTCTGTCATCAACATGACCAGTATAAGAAGAGTACTTTTCTTGTCATTATTTTTATGTAACTTAGGTACAGTGGATGTCATCTTATTCAGAAAAAAATCATCCCAAAAACAAACCAAGAATCTTGCTCAGCGCATATGATATCTTGATTATAATTTGATACACCCCATGTTGAATGCAGTAACCAGAATGCAGCAAAAGAGATTTCTCATTTCCAGACTGCTCTCTGACCTGTTGAGTTGTGTCTGGGCCCTGGGGAAAACTTGGTTTGGCCCAAGTGCCAGAGGGGTAAATATTAACATTCTCTGTTAGGTTTACTGCTGCTCCGCTGTCGGCTGTGTACCAGTATTTGTGCTTTATCGCCTGGGTGACCCCACAGCTTACTTCATAACTCTGGCTGTTGTGTGGCCATATATATAAATGTGATAGTGGACAAGTAGAATGGTATTCAATAAAAATTTTACATTTTTGGGGGAAAAAAAGAAGACATAGATGTTGTGGGTGAATTAAAAGGCAGTATTATATATAATACTAACTATATTTATAACAGCTCAAACTAAGATTTTTTGTATATGAACACAAGCGTATTTCATGCATTTACATTTACATAGAATTTTAATTTGTGCAATTTTTAATTACACATACCACTATTCATTACAACAACAAAACAAACAACAAAATTAAGGTCTTTTAAAAAATGTCTTATTCCTATTAAGCACAATTATAGTGCTTAAAACATAGCCTCGTATACTGCACATAGTTGCTTTAGAGATCATTGAAATACAGCACCTATGATGTCACTACCATTTCCCATCAGCCATTGAGCCACTTAGTTGCTATGGAAGGAATCTCCATAGCAACACAAGAGGGTTGTCGGAGGGGGGGGGGGAGTAAATGTCTTTACGCCACAACATCACGGTCACCTTCAGAAGACAGGAGCACGGGAGGAGGCAGGGATTCCTTGTTAAGATATATGTGCTTTATATAGGCCTGTCTACACTGAGTAATTTAACGAGCGTGTTCATGTGTGCAGCAGACAGATGGGGGCTCACTGGGGTCTCCAGTCATTTGGATTAGAGGGCTGTGCTGAATGCCAATATCTGCTGTTGCATATAGAAACATCAACAGCAAGTGCAAGAGACAAATCATCAAATTACTTCCTTAAAATCACAGTATTTGAACCAATTTCTGTTATAAAATAATCGCAGTAAGTGCTATAATAATTTATACATGCCGATTTACTATTTTATGTTTCTCCCTTCCACCTGCAACAGCTACAAATCTTTGTCCATCCACGGATATATTCATTTGCAAATTAAGTTGACATAATAGGTTTAGTACCAGATCTCCTTCCAGACAATCTCGGCAGAAGAGCTCACAAAAGCAGACTGACTTGTGCCCTCTTGTGGATTGATTAAAATAAAGATTATGGTTTAACTATTGTTACAACTACTACTGCTACTATTACAAATATTATAAAGCCATGTACAAGTAATAACAAGTATAAGTGCATTCAATACTAAGGTAAATTCTCCTCTCAAAACCATAATGGCCTGGTTCAGTTTATATTTTGACACCTTTATTGCAGGTATATTTTAAGTCTGTACCAGTAGGGATGGAGCACAGCCACTGGGAAAGCTGGTTGCTGTGGGTGATGATGCTGTTGCTAGAGCATCTTCAAAAATTGGATTACTCCTCAATGCTCATTGGTTGATCTGCAGGCAGTAGTCAAGGAGAATATCCTGACCTGTACATGATGTTCTGCTATTGATGTACACATATCCACGCCAACACTCGAAACACAGGCACATTTTCTAAATATTCATTACATTTTTCAAATGAACAAATAAAACAAAGGACAGAAGTAAACTCAAATCAATGAGGTACAAAAATCTCAATCTCGTAGAGGCAATTAACATTAGACAATTTGACAGTTGCAAACATACAAACAAAAAAGCATCCCACTCCATTCTCTACATTTATCCTCCCCAGCATCTCACACGCAGCACTGTCCAACATTCTTTCCTTTCACATGGCAGGAGTATTTGGTTCCTTCCGCATTTTCAGAATTAGCTGGGCTTATGTCACCAGTCCAGGTCTTTGCTGACACACCCACATTTTAATGACATTGGTAATTGTTTTTTGCTGATATAAATTTAAAACATTTACTATTCTTTTATTTTTATCAATATAAAAATATAATGTGGATATGTGTGTGTACTTACTTTGCTTTAGCATTTTTTTGCACGTGTTTGTCATTGTTGTACACGCACTTTCCTGGATACAGTAAATCCAAATAAGTAGAAGCAATGTTCTTCCTGGTTTAGGGGTGATCTGCTGTCACTCATCTGAATTGTTGCTGTCAAAACAAGTCCTGAGATAAAAACTTGGTTAGCGACAGCCGATGGAGAGATCCTACAGTGGTGCACTGGGCTGGATGACTCATCACATTGTTGCGGTGACCTTTATCTCTATAGCACTATCCATGTTGTTCTTTGAACAGGTCAAACCAATTTGGTGTTTAACTAATATTTTTCTACACATGCTCTTTAGATACACTTTTTAACTTAAATCTCTTATTACATATTTAGTTGTTAGGATCCGAGCACAGAAATTGCTGATGTTCTCCAGCAATGGTCTGACATTGCAGCGACAAGTTCCTGCCACTTACAGCAGCCAAACACATAATAAAACATGACTCCCAGACAAGGGCTGGTGTGCATTACATCTCTTGATTGGATTAAATTGACCAGACAGCACTTAACAGCAGCATGCATTTATGAAGGGAATTTGTAAATGCAGCAATGTCTTGCAAAACAATGTATAAACTATGACATTGTGCACCTCACGTCTGGTAATACTGATGACAATACTTGACTTGCAAGGTTTCCCCTCACAGCCAAACCACACCTCCTTGATCTGTTCAGTTCAGGTATTGATTTTTCCCTTTTTCTTGTTCTACGGCAGTGAAAACAACAGAAAGTAAATCCACCAATCAATAGTGGAGTAGTGTGCTGTGAAGTAAGGCTGTGATAATGCAGAGTGCTATTATCATCGTAATAATTCTGCACCCTGTATGAAAGTTGAGAACATACAAGGTCACACAGGGAAATGGACGTACATGTATGGTATATGACGAAATGGGTTAAAGATGGGTCAAAATCATGTTTGATGACTGATGTAACATTCCTGCAAGGGGAATGTATAATATTTATATTCCATTTTCTTTTCTACAGGGGTCCCCTCATTGGTGGCTCATTGTTGCAATGCACAGTGCACAAATCCACCCTAACACAAACATAGCCCTCCAAGGTCTATTCTTATTTTAGGAGCAAAGAAGCACAATTTAATTATTAAATTACGTTAATGTAATAAGCTTGGGATTTGAATAATGTGTCCAGTCTTTATTGTCAAATTTTGGTTTATACCGTGTGAATCATGGTGTATTATTTGATCATAACTTGTTCCTAATATAGGCCTATATTTTGTACATTTATTTGTTTGATTAGAAATAATTTTCAAAATGCCATGGTAATAGTTAACTTAATCCATGATAGATTTTAAACAGAAAAATACATATTTTTAAGATAAATTGTATTGCAGTGGTTTATGGGACATGTAAAGACATGTTCCCTGAATGCTGAGTTTGTATGTGGCGCTCTGTGTTTGAAAAGTGCTTAACTTACTTAGTTTCCACTTGCTTCTTTGTGTATGTTTAGTTGTATTCAATAAAAATATAATTTAGTCAAAAAAAGTATGTTACTTTTTCAGCGAAAACATTGACAAAAACAAATAAAATTAGTACTGCAAAGAAACTTCTAAAGTATTTGTACATCAGTGCTCACCTTCCGCTTCATAAGCGGAGGTCGTCTAGGACACAGCTCCTCCCTGCTGTCTCTGTCACAAGATACACCATACGCCTGTTTCTCCTTTGCCTCATCCCTCCTTCCTCTCTCTCCTCCTTCAGCACGCTTCTCTTCTGTTTGGAGAGAAAGGGTGGAGACTTTTTTGTGAGCGATGGATCTGCTGACTCACACACTGACAGTGCAAGAGAAAAGAATATTTAAGATTTTATATGAGGCATACATATTGGAGTATGTATATATATATATATATATATATATATATATATATATATATATATATATATATATATATATATATATATATATATATATATATATATATATATATATATATATATATATATATATATATGTGTGTGTGTGTGTGTGTGTATATATATATATATGTGTGTATATATATATATATATATATATATATATATATATATATATATATATATATATATATATATATATATATATATATAGCGGCTACGGCCAAATACCTGCAAAGAGTGAGGCAAGTCCTTAGAAGCCAGCTCAATGGCAAGAACAAGGTGCAGGCAATCAACAGCTACGCCCTGCCAGTGATCAGATACCCTGCAGGGATTGTAAGCTGGCCAAAGGAGGAGATACAGACCACAGATGTTAAGACACGAAAGCTCCTGACCATGCATGGAGGGTTCCATCCCAAATCCAGCACCCTGAGACTGTACGCAGGCCGGAAGGAAGGGGGCCGAGGACTAGTGAGTGTGGGAACCACTGTCCAGGATGAAACATCCAAGCTCCTTGAGTACATCAAGGACAAGGCCCCGGCAGATGAGGTGCTCAGAGAATGTCTCAGACAGTGGGGTCCAGAGGAAGAGGTGCTGGAGGGACCATCATGGCAGGACAAACCCCTACATGGGGCGTACCACCGTACCACCGGAACATAACTGAAGTGGCTGATATCAAGAAATCCTACCAATGGCTTGAGAGGGCTGGTCTGAAGGACGGCACAGAGGCACTGATCCTGGCTGCTCAGGAGCAGGCCCTGGGCACTCGAGCAATAGAGGCCCAGATCTACCACACCAGAAAAGACCCACGGTGTAGACTGTGCAAAGAGGCTCCTGAGACAGTCCAGCACATAACTGCAGGGTGTAAGATGCTGGCAGGGAAAGCATACATGGAGCGACATAACCAAGTGGCGTTCATAGTGTACAGAAACATCTGTGCAGAGTATGGGCTGGAAACCCCAGGATCAAGGTGGGAAACACCTCCAAAGGTTGTGGAGAATGACCGAGCCAAGATCCTGTGGGACTTCCAGATACAGACTGACAGAATGGTGATGGCGAACCAACCAGACATAGTGGTGGTGGATAAGAAACAGAGCAGAGCCGTGGTGGTGGACATCGCAATACCAAGCGATGGTAATATCAGGAAAAAGGAACACGAGAAGCTAGAGAAATACCAGGGGCTCAAGGAAGAGCTGGAGAGAGCCTGGAAAGTAAAGGCATCAGTGGTGCCTGTGGTGATCGGAGCACTCGGGGCTGTAACCCCCAAACTGGAAGAGTGGCTTCAACAGATACCGGGAAAAAACAATGGACATCTCAGTCCAGAAAAGTGCAGTACTGGGAACAGCAAAGATACTGCGCAGAACTCTCAAGCTCCCAGGCCTCTGGTAGAGGACCCGAACTGAATGAGGGTGAGAGAGACCTACCACCGTGGAAGGTGAGAAACACATTTTATATATATATATATATATATATATATATATATATATATATATATATATATATATATATATATATATATATAAGCTATGCCAAAGTCCATTCACTAAAAGGGAGGTATGTTTTTGTTTAGCCAAAGAAATACATTTAGAAAATTGAATGCAATATTTCTGTTTCTAGTCTACAATAGTTGAATGTTTGCCTTTTAAATGAGGCTCCTCTGTAGACCAAAAATGTCAGTGATCAATCAATCAATTTGAAGTGCAAACAACAGACCTAAACAACAACGCAGTTATAAAGTCACTCAGGTCATTACTTGGAAAGCATTCTTGAGTTTCCCTTTACGGTTCCATCTGGTCTGTCTGAAAACAACACAGAATCAATGCTCCCAATCTGGACAGACTTGACCCAACCTCAAGGTGAGAGTGAATATGAGGCACATGGGATTAAAGGCCCCAAAATTGTTTGCCATTCCTGAAAGCTTCCCCAATTCTACTGAGACTCGCTAAAGGCCCATCTTTGGTTCCTTGTTTTAATTCCATAATATTTCATGGCATTCCAGCTTTCATTTTCGTTCTCTCCTGTCATAATGGTGGCTTTCAGAGTCTAGAATGTGACAATGCTGCCAGACTGGGACATGAGCCATTTTTCCTTTTGATTTCATGATGTGTTCATAAGAAATATTTGAAGTAAAGGAAAGTCCTAAAATCTTGAAACTGTTTGGATTGTTACAACAACAACAAAAGAAAGAAAATCAACAAATTACTATGACAGTCGTACAGTCTGCAACCCAGTAACATACTAATCCTATACTTTGTCTGAACCTTTCATTTGTCAATGTTTATGTAAGATGTAATTATTACAAAGTGCATTCAGATTTTTTTGTTAGCATTTTTATATGACTACTTAGAGCTATTTAACTACAGTGAATACTTGATATTACTAGGTTGTAAAATGGTAAGGGGCAGCAGTGAAAACCCATCAAGAACCAGTGCATACTGCCATTGTATCCTTGGGAAAAAAAACACTTCACCCACCTTGCCTCTATATGAATGTCTGAACTTATGCATTATTATTATAGTACTATTAATAATAATCATGATCATAATAATATATTTTCTTGTTTCGGACAGAGCCAGCAGTAGTCTCTGTTAATTCACATCTTTCTGCAACAACAGCCTTCATTTAATAATGGTCTGTGGTTGTTTACATACTGTACAGACCACAGGGTTTTAAGAGTTCCTGGCCATTCATCTACTTGCATATGTAAAACTGTCAATACCTTCCCATTGAGACCTTCAACCTGAGTGCTCAAACGACTGCCCCCCCACCTCTACCCCACACATAACAGGGAGGGGGCGCCATACTGTCCCTCGGCACCATCTCATCATCTCCATCAGTACTTTGACACTTTGATTGGAGGAGCATACTCTATAATGTTGAATATGTCCTTGAGAAGAAGCAAGGCGAATGAATCCAAGGCAATGATATATAGGAAATTTGCATTACTCTGCTCTTTGTGCTTTCCCATGGGATACTATAGTCACTGTTTCCTTCATGGCTATCTTTATGGTTGGTTTCCATATGCTCCTCTTAAAAACTGAACAGGACTGGAGAAGTTCAACTGAATGTAGGCCATTTAATGTAGTTTGCTGTAAGGGCAATCAGAAACATAGAAACGTGTATTTTTAAGTTGTCCATAGTGAAAACAGATCCAGTAGCAAGTCTATATCTCAACGACACATGTTGTTTAAATATATGTCAATGTAATAAGGTTGAGATTTGAGAGATGTGTCGTCTTTATTGTCAAATCTGGTTTATACACTGTGAAACATGTTGTATTATTTGGTCATAACTTGCTCCTAATAATAGGCCTACGTCTTGTACATTATTGATGCTTTTGATGTGTACTATAATGTTTTCAGACCTGTGTTCTGACAGTTAAAAAAAGAAACAATGATTAAAAATAACCCACTGTTTCAAAAATAGCTCTGACCTAGTTCCATTTGCTGTTGTATCATGAATATGGCAAGCATTTACATTTTAACACAGTAGGAACACTTTGTTTTCCTTGGTAGTCCTTGTCCATCCAAGCCTCTCTGCCTATTTGCCACTCTTTCCACTGCGTGGCGCTTCCCCTTTAATGTACTGCACAGAGGGCAGTGGTGTAGAGAGGCAACACGCGAGAAGGACGGGGCGAGGCGCACGAGCTTTTAGTATGCGCTGCGATGTCCAAATGCAGCCAAGGCACACCACTTTGATGAGAAATATGAGACGTGTAGACCCGGCACATCCACAACAACCAGTCGTGATGAGATGTCACAGTCACCGCATATTTTGTATTTAAAGGAGATTTGATGGAATGGACTGACAACCTCAAGGCGTTTTTTTTAAAGAGGACTAAGGATAGTGCGTACCGAAAGAAACAGGGTGAATTCCTGCATGCTACTATCTGAAATGAATAATTACTCTCCACTTAATGTTATGCTGCTTTGTTTAGTGCATGGAGTATGGTATGATCCACACAGAAGAGAGTTGCAAATGGCTTGAGCATGTTTGGCATCTGCCACTTCAAACTAACTCACTTGACAGTCCAGTATGACACGGCAGTGAATGTTTAAACAGTACAGTGCATGCTCCTGTTTGAGATACACGGTGTGCCGTAGCCCTGATAGATTTCGTGAGTTCTGACCATCTGAGCGCCATCTGAAGACTGTTGTTCCATGGAATGGGCTGTGAATATCCGCCTGCATTTGTTGCGCTTTATTGGTGCGTTCACATGGATTTTCCCAATCAGAAAGAAAGATTATTGAATATAATTGGGGTTTAGCCACAACAAACAGAAAGACCATCTTAATTCTGTATGTGGATCAAACAGGTGATTTGTTCGAAACATGTTAGATGAAACACTGACATCAGCGCCTCCGCTAACGCAACTTCCCTTTCGTAATTCTCTGCAGTTATCATATCATTGTATGGGAGTTCATTTTTAGGCTGTTGCACGGGTCTATCACTGTGTATGCAAACACTAAACATCTTCGCCCCATCACCGCTTGAGCTGTAGCACACTTCGCTGCCTGCGCATCGACATGTCTGTGCCGTTCACTGGCTCATGGGGGGGTGACTCCCGGCTGCGTCCTCACCCTTCTTGTCCCCTCTCCCACTCCCACGCCGCCTCGCCGCTGCAGAGCCGGATGGACCACGGGTGACTGTGGGGTGGTACATCGCTGTCAGAGAGGAGACGGTTTGATTGACACCACAGGGGCTCTACAGATCTGCAGCATCACTGGAGTGTTAGGCGAAGGCGGACTGTAAACAAGCTTCTCAAGTTTCAGTAGCCATAGGTAGGATTTATTTGGATTTCACTAACAAATACACATAGTCCCTCATTAAGGAATAGCCTACTGCATGCATCAGACAAACTTTAAATTCGACGCTAATCTCGGGCTTCTACACATATAATGAAAAAGCATAGTTATTGTGTTACGTAATCTTGGTCAATAATCTTCGAGTAGATTACTTGATTAGTAAGAGCCTATATTGGCAACATTTTAACTCAAAAAGATTTAGGGTTGAATAAATTAGATCTATATAGATTTTTACAGCACTAATTAGCAAGACATTTTTTTATTTTCTTTTGAAACTTCTTGTCAAATAGTTTAAAAGGCACAGGTGGAATTCGTTGCACACATAATGTGCAGCACTCAGTGTGAAATTTGATTTGTTTGGTATAATTGCACAGGGTTGTTACAGTATTACTGGAGCGTATTGATCTACGGCTGTCTTAGAAGAGAAAGAGAGAGACAGCGCATGCTTATAACAGAATAGACATAATGGAGCCAAACATAAAAAGGTTCAACCCCCTCAAGTAATCACTGTCCCACCTCAGTATTAGAAGTATAAAACATATTTTCAACCTGTAAAATTATTGAATTAAAATGGTGGTATCTTCTCTTGCAGCTTTAAAATCTTCTCCCAGTGGATCAACTTTTTGAAGCATCTGTCTGGCCCTGTGGCCACCACGCCGTGTGAAAGCTGCAGGCCCCCTTCGAAATGACTGTTGCCACAAGTGACCCAGCGGACGAGGCCGCAGCTCACCCGGGTCAACCGCTGGACCAGTATGACCCTGAGCCGGACCATGAGTGCTGCGAGAGGGTGGTCATTAACATCTCCGGTTTACGTTTTGAGACGCAGCTCAAGACTCTCTCTCAGTTTCCTGAGACCCTGCTGGGTGACCCCAAAAAGAGGATGAGGTACTTCGACCCACTGAGGAACGAATACTTCTTTGATCGGAATCGACCCAGCTTTGACGCCATCCTGTATTACTACCAGTCTGGAGGACGGCTTCGTCGACCAGTCAATGTTACACTAGACATTTTTTCTGAGGAGATCCGCTTCTACGAGCTGGGCGAGGAAGCCATGGAGATCTTCAGAGAAGATGAGGGCTTTATAAAAGAAGAAGAGCGGCCGTTGCCAGAGAATGAGTTTCAGAGACAGGTGTGGCTCCTTTTTGAATACCCGGAGAGCTCGGGGCCAGCTCGTATTATTGCTATTATTTCAGTCATGGTCATTCTCATTTCTATTGTTAGCTTCTGTTTAGAGACATTGCCAGTTTTCAGAAAAGAAGTAGAGGAGATGTATAAATTCTACCCATCAATGTCAAACACCACATCCACTTACGACACCTCCACATATTTCACAAACCCCTTCTTTATTGTAGAAACACTCTGTATTATTTGGTTTTCATTTGAGTTTCTGGTGAGGTTCTTTGCTTGTCCCAGCAAAGCTGGATTTTTTGGAAACATAATGAACATTATTGACATTGTTGCAATTATTCCTTACTTTATAACGCTTGGTACAGAGCTGGCAGAGAGGCCAGAGGACAACAAGGAGGCAGGACAACAAGCCATGTCTTTGGCAATCCTCCGAGTAATCCGTCTTGTGCGAGTGTTTCGAATCTTTAAACTGTCCCGTCACTCCAAAGGGCTGCAGATCCTTGGGCAGACTCTAAAGGCTTCTATGCGTGAACTAGGCCTCCTCATCTTCTTCCTGTTCATCGGAGTGATCCTATTCTCCAGTGCAGTGTACTTTGCAGAGGCAGATGAGTCACAGTCTCAGTTCAGTAGTATTCCTGAAGCCTTCTGGTGGGCCGTGGTGTCCATGACCACAGTGGGCTATGGAGACATGGTCCCCACCACCATTGGAGGGAAAATCGTGGGCTCTCTTTGTGCCATTGCTGGTGTGTTGACAATTGCTCTGCCTGTACCTGTGATTGTATCCAACTTCAACTACTTTTATCACAGAGAGACTGAGGGAGAGGAACAGGCGCAATACTTGAACATTCCCAGTGTGCCTAAGGCCAGCTCAGCAGATGACCTGAAGAAAAGTGGTCGCAGTGGAAGTGGCTCAACTCTCAGTAAGTCAGATTATGTGGAGATCCAGGAGGCAGTGAACCACAGTACTGAGGACTTCAGGCCCGAGAGCATGAAGACAGGCAACTGCACCCTGACCAACACTAATTATGTCAACATCACAAAGATGCGCACGGATGTATAAAGTCAGCTGCCTTACAGGAGAGAGGCTGGGTCCTGGACCCTAAGTATACAAGTGTGAAGGCCTGTGTATGGTAGCCCAGAGAGGATACCTAAGGTCAACCACATTCTCTACTATGACCAGTATTTTCTTCAAGGTCCTGCCAGGCTTGAACTGGAGAGCAAAGAACTGCCATTTTATTAGAGACATTATTGGTGTCTGCATGAAGTTACTCTTAATTGTGTAACTGTAGTCATTCTGCCTCGCAGTAGCCATATAGTAGCTCAAACAGTAATAACGTACTAACCTAAATTACTGGGACCACAAGTCGCTGCCTTCTGCTCAAACTGCCCCTACATGTTGCTTGAAAAATATCAATAGGTGGTGTAACCTTTTGAAAATATAGTTTTAGAATAGGAAAAATAATACTGTAGGGAAAAGGGTCATTACATTTCCTTTCTGTCATTCCTACTATCAGTGTCCTTGCACAGAAGCAGGCCAGACAAATGGGCTGAGATCACAGCTGTTTATGAGAGGAGCTGCTCTGAAAGCTGACAGTGTGTTAGATCTACGGGGGTCCAGCGCTCATGATCCAAACATGGAGGTGTAGAGGACAAAAGTTTATTTCTGTAATACTTTAAAGTGGGCTTATATTTTCCAGATTTACAAAAAAGTTGTTTACATAATGAAGTGTACATTCATCCTTTGTTTATCATTTTACATGCGAGTGCCTATTTAACATTTATACTTTTGCCATTATTTTTCCTATCTCTGTCCCCTTAAATGTCAAAGCAATCAATTTTTTAGAAAAACAAAATACTGATATTGGAGGAAATAGTCTTAATATTAAGACATCAAATTACAAGATAATATATAAGCACTTCTAATGTATCTGCTGGTAACTGACTTAAAAACTGTAGGAATGATTAAACACTATAGCACTATAGTGTGTCCTTATTTGGGCTTTATACAAGTGTGCTGCCACATGCATATCTTACTACAGTATCATGTTTACATGTGTAGTGTGTGTCCAGATGAGTCTTTTGCTTCCATCATTCCATTTTTACATTGATATTTTCAAGAGTTGTGGTGCTTGAGGTAAATGTCCATCATCTGCTACTTTTAAAATGATAGCTTTTGGATTGCTGCATGTAAATTATTCATTGTAGCATGCATTGAAAATACACAACAACCTGAAGTATGTATTCATATAACAAAAACCAAATGCAATAGCCTCTATGCCCTTCAAGTCCCATGTTCATTGTATTGTATCTAACAACTGATAACATTTACAGTTGTTACAAGCTATGGCACAGATTGTAATTTTTATCAAGCTCCTCACTCCACTGATGTCAGGCCAGAAGCACAACAGCAGCACTGCCTGTGACTCCAGTGTGTTCAATGGTGTCTGCAGTGTTTCCTATCCATCTCTATGTCTATCTACAGCAGCAGGAGATGGGATTAATGGCTATAGGGAGCTTTTAGAGGCACTTAGAGCTCTGCTCTTTAAGATATGTTGTGAGACACCAAACCTGGGTCTGAACAATCTGGAGTGCAGTATTTGCTTATATTATATATGCTCTGATGTAGCTGAAGCTGTTTGCTTTTAAAAAATGGCAACCATACAAATGCTACTGAGATTCAAACTACTGCTGAAATGAAGTGACAACATGCCCGCATTTTCTCTCTCATTCTTTTCAGATGTGTACAAATCAATGCCACAATGCACAGCACTTAGCTGTACTACATGATATTACATGTGGACAGCTATGGGCTCTTTCTTGCTCTTTATCAGGACCAAAAGTCTTCTTTCACTCTAAAGTAAACCTATAACCTAACATATATAATCACTTCATGTGTCAGATATACAGCTGTAGAAAACAAAAGTAATCCGGTGGAAGAACTTTTGCCACAATATGGAACATATGTAGCCAAGCACTAAATGATAAACGGACTGTGTTAAATACCTTCCTAAGCTACTGCTTTAAAATATGCTTCTGCAATGCCCAAGTCCCTCTATACCAGGGAATACAAGTGTTTGCTTGTCAAATTAACCCATAAATAAAAGCTGTATTGCTTGTGAAATGTTGTCTATGTTTGATCATGCTACTGGGTCAGAAATTGTATAAACAAGTGTTACATTTCTTTATGAAAGGGTGAATGTTTGTCTCGTGTGTTTAGATTAAATCTTATTATCAGAATGTTATCTTGAAGCACTTTAAGTCATATAGTTCATCTGCTAAAACAAACATATTAGTACCTAATTTCCTATGTCTTAATACTTAATTATGCCAGGCACAAAGCTATAATATGAAAATCAATGCTTTGTATAAACTGTGTGCAACTGTTGCTCTGGAGGTTTATCTCGGCTTTAGAGTCTGTGTGCACTCAAGTGGTTTTACATTGAAACCGTGTTTTGTTTTATCTCAGCAAAGCCACATACAAAATACCCTCAAACTATCTGTGAAGTGTGAATAAAATACCCCAAACATGTTGGTGCTAATGTTGACAGTATACCTGTAAATAGTGTTATTTTAAGTATAATTATTAGATATTGTATTTATAAGCAGATGTAGGACTGTTATAACTATATAGTGAATAAATTGGCTTGAGCACCACTATGGCAGGCAGCCCTCTAATGCGGGTGCTTTCACATCCATTATAGAGGTAGAGTTGAATTGCCTATCGACCTTCACCTCCTCAGTGGTTCGGTGCCCTACCCCTCTCACTAAGTGAATCTTATGCTCTCTGTGGTTTACTCAGAAAGGAAAGTACTTTATTTATAAAAGCTTTGACAATGATAGTGAGGATGAGAGAAACAGTGGAGGATAATGGTATTCAAATATTTGACTCTTATTTCTTATTTCTTGTTTTCTTTATTTTCTATGTAGATTTTGGCTTGTATACTACCTGCTTTTCTCCTTGGAGATGTTATTGCTTTGCCTGAAATTTTCCAGGATGGCATTAGTCATATCTATCTCCACGAAGTCAAGATTGTGTCACCACTAGACCAAATTTTGGGTCAGATCACTTGAGAGGCAAAAAAGCAGGTGGCAGACCCTACTAGAGATTTAACCTATAATAATGAAAATAATGCATGAGTAGCACTTTTACAAATGCTCAAAGTCACTTTACAATTTCATGTATTATTCATTCACTTCGCACTTGGTGATGGTAAGCTACTTTTGTAACCACAGCAGCCCTGGGGCAGAGCTGCCAATATGTGCCTTCGGCCCCTTTGACAATCACCAGCACTCACACACACCCCCCATTCATACTAGGTGGGTGAAGTGTTTTGCCTAAGGACACAAATCTGTGGCACCTGGAATTCCTAGTGGTCTCGCATCCAAATACTAACCAGGCCTACAAACCAAGTGCGTAGTGCACCTAAGAAAGCTGTAGAAACTAACAAATATTTTTGAATAGCATGAACATGTTATTTCATGTTCAAAAAGAGCAAATTATTTATGCTGATGTTGGAGCTGCTTGACAGGAGAGGGAAATGTATTATGAAATGTATTATGAAATGTATTATGATATATTGAAAAACTGCCTTATTTAAAGGCAAATTATTTCCAGTCTAATTTTTGTGCCAATCAGTTGAATAGTCCTCTATACATTAACCACCTACAGCTGCACTCTCATTTGAACTGTTGTCATTTTGATGGAGTGAGGATTTGCACTTGTATGTTTCAAGCTGTAACAGTTTAAGTGAATACCTCTTGTGTAGGGAGCACTTGGGCACATTGCTGTGGAGCTGATTTATAACCTAATACCCATCCCAGTTAATGGCCTGTCCTATGGAGCCTTCTTTATTGCAGAGCATGTTCCATAGGAGGGTTCTGGCTGTGTCTATCCATGTTCTACTACCACCAGTGCATGTGTGCGGGTGTGGAGGAGGGGAGGCTTTTGGATTCCCCCTATATTAGCCTGTTCTATTTTTAGCACTCTGCAGGTTTCCTTTGTGGAAATGGGGACTGCCTCCTCTTTGCAAATGATGTATAAGCAAAACATTGTAGGTGTGTGGGAGCTACAATGAAAATCATCACAAAAATAGTATCCTGGCAGCTAGAGAAGGGGTGTCTGATTGAAGGGGTGGAGGAAAATGTAAGGTGAAAATTTTAAAGACAAGATTTGATGTACGAGAAAAGAAGGAGGCCACAGGGGAGCACCAGCTGTCAATGCATATAATGAATGCAATTGATTTATGCGTTTGGCCTACATTCTGCTGTCCCTCTCCATCACATATAACATATATACACTGTGTTCACGCTATCTTAAATAAAGCCCCGGAATAAATGGAGCCGCTGGATGGTGGGAAGTGGACAATTTTTTAATACAAGGAATTTACTGTCAGAGGTAGATGGCTATAAAGAAACATGATTTATTCTCAGAGCTATGTATGCAGCATACCTTTTACACCATTTGCACAAGATTAATTTTTAATTGAGATCAATAAAAACATGCTGATTGAAATGCAATATAGTTTGTCAGGCTTGTTCAAAAAGCCTGATTATAACCTATAATTTGACAATTACGTGTTTTGTTTTTTTTTTGTTTTGTTTGTTTTTTTGAGAATTATTAGGGCAACTAAATAAATATGCCTTGTGTACCTGTATGCAGACTGCACACAGGGACACAAGGCTACTACCCCCTAATGGATCTTAGAAGAATTACAATTATACATAAAGGAGGCTTATTTAAATGCAGAATATATATAGCCTCTGCCCTTACTGATTTAAAACCTCAAATGAAAGACTCTTATGAGGCTCATTTTGCTTTCTGACTGAATAATCATCATGAGAATAAAAAAAAAAATCAAATAAAACATAACATTTGTTATTAACAAAGTTGGTCATCATGCCTTATATTTTTTGCAGGTTAATTAATAATCAATCAACATTACAATTGTTCCCAGTTAATTTGAACATATTTATCCTATATCTTGGGACATGGACATGTCATATTTATGAAATCTGAAAAATGACATAGCCTACCTTTAAAACATATGTGTAACGTGCCCT